CGAGGCACCCTGTAACTCGTTGTACCCCCTTTATATTCTGAATTAGGCCCATCCTCGTGACGACTGAGATCTTCTTCGGGTTGGCTTCGATGCCATGCTCAGAGACGATAAAACCCAGCATCATACCCCTTGAGACCCCAAAAACGCACTTCTTAGGGTTGAGTTTGATGTCGTTTGCCTAGAGTTTCGTGAAGGTCTGCTCTAGGTTTGCTAGGACTTGGTCAGCCCATTTGGACTTGACCATGATGTCATCCACGTAGACCTCAACAGTCTGCCTGATGAGATCTCTAAAATACTTGAGCATGCAACATTAGTACGTAGCCCCCATGTTCTTCAGACCGAATGGCATTGTGACATAGCAGAACGATCCGAATGGGGTGATGAAAGATGTCACGAGCTGGTCGGACTCTCTCATCGCGATTTGATGGTACCCGGAGTACGCATCAAGGAAGCAAAGGGTTTCGCACCCTGAGGTCGAGTCGACTACTTAGTCTATGCGTGGCAAAAGAAACAGATCCTTTGGACACGCTTTATTGAGACCTGTGTAGTCAATGCACGGTCTCTATTTCCCACTCTTTTTTCGTACAAGAACGGAATTAGCTATCCACTCAGGGTGGTATACTTCCTTGATGAACCTGGCCGCCAAAAGCTTCACAATCTCCTCGCCGATGGCCCTGCGTTTTTCCTCATCGAAGCGACGCAGGCGTTGCTTCACCAGCTTGGAGCCTGGCCTGATCTGCAAGGTGTGCTCGGCAACTTCTCTCGGAATGCCTGGCATGTCCGAGGGTCTCCACGCAAAGATGTCTCTGTTGGCACGGAGGAAGTCGGCGAGCACGCTTTCCTATTTGGAGGAAAGCGTGGTGCCGATGCGCACCACTTTGCCCTTGGAGCCGTTGGGGTCTATGAGGACCTTCTTAGCGCCCTCTATAGGCTCGAAAGACTTGGCCGACCGCTTGGGGTCGGGTGCTTCTTTGACGACCTCCTCCCTGATGGCCGCAAGCTCTTTGGAGGCGACAATTGCCATGGCGTGTTAGCAGCACTCAACCTCGCACTTGAGGTGCACTGGAAGGAGGTGCCGATGGTGATGACCCCGCATGGACCCGGCATCTTTAACTTTAGATAGGTGTAGTTGGGGACGGCCATGAACTTCACGTAGTATGGACATCCCATGATGGTGTGATAGGTTCCATGGAACCCGACCACCTCGAAGGTAAGGGTCTCCGTCCTTTAATTGGTCGGATCCCTGAAGGTGACGGGTAGATCGATCTACCCAAGTGGCACGACCTGCTTTTCCTGGCACGATGCGCCCTAGTTGGCTGGATGCGCGCTCGGTCGATGCCCATGGCGTCGAGCGTTTCGGCGTACATGATGTTGAGGCTGTTGCCTCCATCCATCAGCACCTTGGTAAGCTGCTTCATGCCGATGATCAGGTCGACCATGAGCGGATATCTGCTTGGCTGTGGGACACTTTCCAGGTGGTCGTTTCGATCAAAGGTTATGCCGGACTCCGACCATTAGAGGAAGATAGGCATGGCCGGTTCGGCTGTATAGACCTCACGGCGCGCAAGCTTCTAGCAGTGCTTGGAGTTGTAGGCCGCTGACCCTCCAAAGATCATGAGGTAGCCATCCATCGTTGGAAATCCACCGTCCTTCCCCTCGACATCGTCTGTGGCTGGCTTGGGCTCCTTCCTATGCTCCCCCTTATTAGAGCCTCTGGACAAGAACTGCTTCATGAGGACGCAGTCCTTGTATAGGTGCTTGACGAGGAAAACATGGTTCGGGCATGGCCCTTCGAGCAGCTTCTCGAAGTCGTCTGGGGTACCCTCGATGGGCTTCCGATCCCCCTTGCGGTTGGCGGTGGCCACGAGCGAGCCCTCATGCCACTGCTTGTTCTTCTTCTTGTTGGGACGGTTGGAGGCACCTTCGTCGGTGTCCTCGTCCCGCTTTGCCTTGCCTTTGAGGCAGTCGAAAATCGCCCCGACCGCCTCCTCGCCCGAGGCATGGCCGGTGGCGATGTCGAGGAGCTCCTTGGTGGTTCACGGGCTCTTACGTCCTAGCTTGTGAACCAGGGACTCGTAGGTGGTCCTAGACAGGAAAGCTTCTATGACATCGGCGTCGACGACGTTAGGCAGCTCGTTGCACTACCGGGAGAATCGCCGGATATATCCACAAAGAGTTTCCCCGGACTTCTATCGGCAGTTTTTGAGACCCCATGGGTTCCCAGGACGTGCATATGTGCCCTGAAAGTTTCCCACAAAGATCTCTTTTAGGTCCGCCGAACTTTAGATTCGGTTGGGCGGAAGGTGTTCCAATCACGCTCGTGTCGAATCGGCCAGGAACAATGAAAGGTTGCGGATAATGAAATCATCACTATCTGCTCCACCGACTTGGCAAGCAAGCCGATAATCCTCGAGCCACAGTCCGGGGTTTGTTTCCTCGGAGTATTTTAGGATGTTAGTCGGCGGTCGGTACCGCGGTGGAAAGACGGCGTTAAGGATGTGTCGGCCAAAGGCCTGAGGTTTTGACAAGTCAGGGCTCGAGCTTCGGTCCTCGCCGCTGTCGTAGCGTCCGCCACGATGAGGGTGGTAGCCACGGCTAGCGTCCTCCCTCGCATCGCCGCGGGCACGCCCACGGGCATCGAGGGTGTCGCGCGCGTCACGATGGAGGCCGAGACGTTCACGCACTAGGACTGCGGCGCGTGGCCTGCCGCTTTGCTATGCCTGGTGGACTGACATGCCCCTGTCGGGTCGCTCTGAGGGCGTGCACTGGCTGGTGTCAAGCTCATGTCGTCGGGACAGCGAGCCCTTGGCCTGCTGCACCGCTGCACGCTTGAGTAGCGTGCGAATCTCGTGATGGACCCGATGATCCTTGGGCGTTGCGGGCCTTGGAAGCCCCCAGAGCAAGGCCGCCATGGCAGCGATGTTCTGGCTTGACCGGGTGAAGTGTGGGAGGGCTTCGTCGTCCTCGATGATCCTCCGGTTCACATCGTAGGCCACGACGCGCGCACGCCCACCGTCTCTATGGCGCTTGATCTCTCGCTCAAGCTCCGCGCATTGTTGCTCGAGCTAGAGTCGTGTTTCTTCGAGCTCTTGGTGCCGCGGCCACAGCTGCTCTACCCGCAAGTGAGGTGGGGCCCCTGCGTCCCTCTCGACCTCGTCGTCGAGGTCATCTGTTGGGGTAGCCCTCCCTCGTGGATGCTTTTGATGTATCCCTCGAGGGTACCTGCCATGAAATATTCATGCGAGGGGTGATGGCTCCCCCTGCTGGAGTCAGAGTCGGAGGGCGACTCCGATTCTCCCGCGAGGAGGTCGTGAAAAGATTCTGCAATATATTCTGTCATCCCCACGAACTCGTCGTTCGCAGGGGATGAGGGCGTGCGTTGCGTCACAAGGTGGCCAACGGTCTCTGCGGTGTTGCGTAGACCAAACGGGAGCGCTATCGGGGTGCTCCGGATGAGGTATTCCGGGGAGATCGGCTCTCCTTCGGCAAGCTGCGTCATGACGTTTGCGAACGAGAAGGTGAGGCGCCCTAGGTCCTCTCGGTATGGTTGGGGTCCTAGGAAGGCGCCGAGCTGGCACTCTAGCCTCCCGTAATCGAAGCCGAGGAGCTGGTCACTCCCGGGGGCGCGGGCCTCCGGTGCGTGCAACTGCAGCTCCTCAAGCGTCTCGGCGATCGAGTCGAGGCCGGCAGAGTGGAGAGTTTGGACGGCGGCGGGAACTTGCGCCAACTCTCCCTTCGTCGAAATGATGAAGTCCAGGTTCCCGAAGCGCACGTGCGCGCCTGGGACCCAGCTGACACCGTGACTAGCCATCCGAGGCCTGATGTGGACGTCGAGATACGCAAAAGGCCCCTACCTGGCGCGTCAACTGTCGGTGTTTTTTGACCACTAACGAATAAATTTGTATTTGCGCGTGTGGCTCGGATGGTGTGCTCAGAGGACACAAGGGTTTATACTGGTTTGACCACTAACGAATAAATTTGTATTTGCGCGTGTGGCTCGCTTGCTGCTCAGCCGTCTGCTCGTGTCGTGCTCTTGTGTTTCGGTTTTCCTCCCCTTCATGGGGCGCCCTGCTTCCCCTTTTATAGACGAAGCAAAAGCGCGGGTTACAGCGGAGGAAGAGGAGAAGAACGAGAGAGCTAGATAGAGAGAGAGGGAAGAAGACTTCCAAGGTCGCCGGGTCCTTCTTCTCCTTCATATGGGTCCCGCGCGATACTGTAGATGTCAATAGGGATGGCTCTACGTCGCGGCCCTGTTCATCATTGGCGCTATGCGCAAGCGTTCATGACGTTCCATTCCGTCCCGGCGGACGCCGTGGTGAACTGACACGCCTGTCAGTGTTCGTACGAGGGTTAGGTAGAACAGCACCGACACGCCCGACACTGTTCTTGATCTGAGTCCTCAGGTATGGCCCGTCATGGCCATGGGTTACATCGATGCATGCCAGTCTCTTCCCTGATGTCAGAGTTTTGACTCAGGCGCATATGCTTGGACCTGGAGTGGTTGGCGGCGGTATGGGTCCCCGTCAGACGAGACGGAGCCCGCGGCCTTGGGCGAGACCCCCGCGGCCTCGAGGTCGAGCGAGACGGAGCCCGCGTCCTTGGGGTCGGGCGAGGCGGAACCCGCACCCAAGGGGTCGGACGAGACGGAGCCTGTGACCTTAGGGTCACGCGAGACGGGACCCGCACCCAAGGGGCCGGGCGAGATGGAGCCCGCAGCCAAGATGTCGGGCGAGGTGGATCCCGTGACCTTGGGATTGGGTGAGACGGAGCCCGTACCCAAGGGGTCGGGCGAGACGGAGCCCGCGGCCTTAGGGTCGGGCGAGATCTTTTAATATGTCTTGGGCCATCCGGAGGAGTCAGCGTGGACGCTAATCTCCTTGCTTTGGGTATTCCTACGATCGACACCTGACACGTCGACAAAAGGACCAGAATCTAAAGAGATTGGTGAAGCGTCTTAGGAATCCAAAGAGGGATGGCCTTGTTTGCACTGCTAGGAAGCCATGGGTGGTCGTCAGTACGCGCAACGTAGACTACAAGCGTGCCAGACATTTTCAGGTTGACCTTTCTGCATTCAGGAACATTCTTGAGATTGACAAAGAGAGAATGGTTGCCAAGGTCGAGCCTCTTGTTAGCATGGGTCAGATAACTAAAGCTACCTGCCCGACGAATCTTTCGCTCGCTGTGGCTCCTGAGTTTGATGACCTTACCGTTGGTGGTCTGATAAATAGTTATGGAATTTCAGGGGGCTCTCACATCTATGGCCTCTTCTCTGACACGGTTGTCGCGATGGAGGTTGTTCTTGCAGATGGTCAGGTTGTGAGAGCTACCAAGGACAATGAGGACTCTGACCTTTTCTATGGCATGCCATGGTCCCAAGGCACAATCGGACTCGTTTCAGCTTAGATCAAACTCATTCCCATCAAGGAATACATGAGGCTCACATATACTCCTGTCAGGGGGACCTTGAAGGAAATCGCGGAGGCTTATGCTGATTCTTTCGTGCCAAGGGATGGTGACCCTGCAAAGATCCCTGACTTTGTAGAAGGGATGGTGTACTCATCCTCAGAGGGTGTGATGATGACCGGTGTTTATGCCTCGGAAGAGGAGGCAAAGAAGAAGGGCAACAAGATCAACCGTGTAGGCTGTTGGTTTAAGCCCTGGTTCCACCAGTATGCTGAGACGGCTCTGAAGAGGGGTGAGTTCGTGGAGTACATTCCTACAAGGGAGTACTACCATCGCCACACTAGATCCCCGTATTGGGAAGGCAAACTGATCATACCGTTCGGGGACCAGCTCTGGTTCAGGTTTCTGCTTGGCTGGCTGATGCCACCAAAGATTTCCTTGCTCAAGATCACCCAGGGTGAAGCTATCAGGAACTACTACCATGACAACCACGTGATCCAAGATGTGCTGGTGCCGCTTCACAAAGTCAGCGACGCTCTTGAGTTTGCTCACCGTGAACTGGAGGTACAATTTCCTTTCTTTTTTCTTTTGCATCGCTGGTGGCTAGTCTAGAGTCTCTAGACCATGCCCTCTTCAACTTGGTTGGGATGGGATTCAGAATTTTGTTTTTTGATCTGATCTTAGGTTTACCCAGTGTGGCTGTGCCCGCATCGGCTGTACAAGCTTCCCGTGAAGACGATGGTGCACCCGGAACCAGGATTTGAGCAGCATCGCAGGAAAGCCCAAATGTTCAGCGACGTCGGCTTCTACTACGCTCCTGCCTCTGCCTCTGTTCTACGGGGTGAGGAGTTCAACGGTGCCGAAGCCGTGTATAGGCTGGAGCAGTGGCTCATTAGGAACCACGGGTACCAGGCGCAGTATGCGGTGTCTGAGCTGAGCGAGAAGGACTTCTGGAGAATGTTTGATCCCTCTCCCTATGAGCACTGCCGCCGCAAGTACGGCGCTGTAGGGACCTTCATGAGCGCCGCCCACTACAAGTCCAAGAAAGGCGAAGCTGAAGCTGCCATCCTAGAAGCTGCTGATGCTGATGCGGAGTGACATAACAGGCTTGGCTTTGATTCCATTTCCATCCATCATGGCTACTCTAAACATCCAGTTCTGAACTATATATCCTTTCCCCTCTAACTTGATGTGTGTTGTTGGAAGCTGTTGAATAATTTTAAGCTGTAATCACCTTTGGCTAAACAGTTACTCATTGATGGTTTCTGATAATACATTTAGTTGGAGTTTGAGAAAGTAATCAAAGCTTCCTTTATCAAAAAGACAAAAAAGTTGTTTTGCATTTGCATCTGTGTCTGTTAGCTTGAAATTGTATGTTGTGCCATAAAATCAGTTTTTTTTTTGCAACATTCTGATAATATATATAATGAATTCACTTTTCTTCTGTAAGTTTGCTTGCCAAACTATAATTGTGATAATAATTAAACCCTGCGGGTTGCCAAATCTCTGCACACCTTTTTTCTGTAAGTTTGCCTGCCAAAATATACGTACGCAGTCATCAGCTGAATCTTATTGTAGGATGCTACTTGTAATATGCACTACTCTCTCTGTAAAAAAAAACAATCTCGCTTTCTACGAAGTCATATAATTTGAATTTTGATTAAAATTATAAAAATACTAACATTTATAATACAAAATATACATCATTAGATTAACTATGAAATGTATTTTATAATAAACTTATTTGGAGATATAAATATATCAATATCATTCATTATAAATTTGGTTAAACTTGAGCTTGTTTGATTGCCACAAATTTCATAAGCCTTGCACTGGGTTTCACCTCTTCCTACTGCAAAAAAGTGGCAGTGCTACTGCCTTTATTTATTTATTAAAAAAAAGAAGGTCTGAAGGTGAAGCTTTGTTAATTTTGTTCAGAGAAGAGATTTGAGCTTTGACTATTCCTTGGCTGCTGTATCCGCCCTCAGCCGTAACAGTACGGTCAGGCCCACACCGAGGCACCGAGCCATACCCACTCACGCTCGCTCACGCACCGTGATAGCAAATGGCGGGAAGCAGGGATTCATTTCCCGCGCTTTTCCCCGGTCTCCCGCCAGGTTGCTCTGCCTTTAGGGCTCCGCTCCCTTGAGATCCCCTCCCATCGATCCTCTCATCTGCCCATCCGCAAGCCATTCAGCCGCCGCCGCCGCCGCCGCTCGTGACTGGGAAGATGACGCCGTCGAGCCAACCCGACTTCTCGCCGTCGCAGTTCACCTCCACCCAGAATGCTGCCGCCGACTCCACCACGCCTTCCAAGGTCCTCTCTTCCTCTCGCCGCGGGGACTCCTTTTGCTTTCTTCAACCTCAATCCGTCGGTTCCCTTAGCCATGGACTTACCTGACTTGTGTGATTGGATTTGTCAGATGCGCGGCGCGTCCAGCACCATGCCGCTCACCGTGAAGCAGGTCGTCGACGCGCAGCAATCTGGCACCGGCGAGAAGGGCGCTCCGTTCGTCGTGGATGGCGTCGAGATGGCTAACGTACGGGGGCCTAAATTCGAGACGCCTCTTCCCTGCGCTATGCGTTTCTCAGCCTTTCCTCTTCTTCGTGCTTTGATTCGTTGACATGGACATGTTCTCGCCGTTAATTCGTCAGCCGCGGTTCCCTTTTCAGATTCGACTTGTGGGGATGGTCAACGGCAAGGTGGAGCGGACGACCGATGTGACATTCACGCTCGATGACGGCACCGGCCGCCTCGATTTCATCAGATGGTGAGCCTAATGTAACACTGCTTGTTTGGTTCTCTCATAGTCAATCCCAGAAATCTTATCAGAAAACATCATCATTTATTTACTCATAAACACCAATGCTGAACATCCACATTGGGTTATAACCAGAAAACTACATAGGTGCCTGTGAAAGGAATACCTGTGCAAGTGGAATGTTTCAGTAACAGTTCCATCTGTTGTTCCTTACAACCACTGAACCTGCCTTGCCAAGTTGCCATTGTATGCTTCCTGTCAGCCTCCTTAACAACTTCAAGTTCTCCCTGCAAGGATAGTGATTCTAGTGTGACCTGATAAGTTGTTGAAGTGATACAAATTACACTGCTGATGCCAACTTGTCAAGAAAAGCTGACCTGAAAGTAACCATGTATTATGATTAGGGCACTTTGGAATGCAGGAATTTCACATGAATCAATTCATTTTCACAAGAAAAACACTGGAAACAGGACAAAATCCCGCCTTCCTCCAAAGGGGGCCTTAATTTTTCTTCTTTGAGATTTTTAGTCTTGCATTCATTGTATTCAAGAACCATGACATAGATTCCACTGGATCTGGCTGTACAACAATCTGAAACCACCTGTTGCTGGCTTTAATAACTGCCTGCAGGAACTCGTGTGGACTAACCTCATCTTATCAGAACACATCATCTTTTACTCATAAACACAAAGCTAAACATCTGCATTAGGTTATAATAACCAGAAAACTACATAGCTGCATGTGAAAGGCATACATGTGGAAGTGGAATGTTTCAGTAACAATTCCATCTGTTGTTCCTTCCAACCACTGAACTTGCCTCACCATTGTATGCTTCCTGTGAACCTCATTAACAACTTCAAATTCTCCCCGCAAGGCTAGTGATTCTAGTGTGACCTGATAAGTTGTTGAAGTGATACAAACTGCTCTGTTTGATGCCAATTTGTCAAGAAAAGCTAACCTGAAAGTAATCATATAGTGCTTCTGGCCTTAATAATTACTTGCAGAATTCGTGTAGACTAACCAGATTTTGTTAGTTTACCAAATCTTGATGTAAAGGTATAGCACAAAATATTCTGCAAACTGATTTAATAACCAACCTGGCCCTTGAAGTTCCTACCATGCCAAATCTTGCGTGTCAGTTCCCCAAAATGTACTCAGTCTGCACTTCAGTGAAGATTTTTTTTCCTTTTTTGAAAAGAAATGGCTGGCTGGAGTTCTGCCAATAATATATTGATAAGGAGATCTTTGCCTTGTTTTATAAAAGAAGATAATAGTCACCAATGTCATAATCCTACGTTCAACCAAGTTATTCATGGCTTATCATGTTGGTTGTCTGCGATTAGTAATAGGTTTCCTTACACACAGTTATGTTATTTATGTTTCTGTTTCGCAGGGTGAATGATGCTTCAGATTCTTCCGAAACTGCTGCTATTCAGTAAGTATAAGCTACAGCCTTTACATTGTTGTTAAAGCATTTCACTATCTTTTCTGGAGGAAAGTTGCCATGCTTTTGTGCGGATAGATCACAGTTTTCTCTCTCTTTGGTTATCAAGGAATGGTATGTACGTTGCGGTCATTGGAAGCCTCAAGGGACTTCAAGAGAGGAAGCGTGCTACTGCTTTCTCAAGCAGGTATCCTGGCAGTAAGTTCGTTTAAGCTGAACAATTCTTACAATGCAGCATACAATTAATATATTGATTTTTCTTTCAGGCCTATAACTGATTTCAATGAGGTTACGCTGCATTTCATTCAGTGTGTTCGGATGCATATAGAGAACACGAAATCAAAGGTGCCGCCCTTTCCTGTACTAAGGTCATTGAAATATTCCATGCTGTCTTTCCCGTGGCTTTGTTTTACAAGGCTTCTGGTTTACATCATAGGCTGGCAGTCCTGCACGAACCAGTTCTTCTATGGGAGTGTCAGTCTCAAATGGTTTCAGTGAATCAAGCACACCAACATCTTTGAAATCGAATCCAGTAAGTTATAGTTGCAGTTATTGCATTGATTATTTAATCAAAACCTTTTCACATATCACCGTGTCTTGCTAATTCCTATAGGCACCAGTGACCAGTGGAGCAAGTGGTTCCGATACTGATTTGAGCACGCAGGTGCTTAATATTTTTAAAGAACCAGCGAACCTGTAAGTCATATCTATGGCCCCTCCTTTTTCTTTGGTTTTGACCAGCCTTTCCAATAAACTGCCCTAAATAAAGTTTATATTACACATAATCATCCTTTTCTTTCTTTTATTTCTTTCTTATCAAAATAAGATTCCACATTACCTGTCCTAAGTTTAATAATTACCCTTTCACTTAACAAATAAAAAGTTGATTTGTTGTGATGCCTTGGTTAGCAAGTTTTCTCATCTTTATTTGTCATTCTATTGCCGACAGTGAGAGTGAGCATGGGGTACATGTTGATGAAGTTATCAAGCGGTTCAAACTGCCGGAGAAGAAGATCATGTAGAGCTCTCTCTTCATTTTCACTAGCACACAGGAAAAAATAAAGAGTATTCTCAGCAGCTCCTTTTGTTATGCAGGGATGCTATTCTCGACAATGTGGACTTGGGCCATCTCTACTCAACAATTGATGACTCCCACTTTAAGTCAACTTAACCAATTGAAGTTGTAGCCAAAATCAAGAGCAGTCAGCCTGCTCGAATGGCAGAGGACTAAGTATCACTTGACAGAACTGATTCTGCCTCCTTGTACTAACCAAGGTCTGAAAAGGGAGGGAATTTTATGGTGTTGATCCTATCTATGATGGTCCTATATGTATGGGTTATGGAAATATCATGTTGTGCCAACTAGTTGATTTGCATCATCTGATGAAGTTGTGTCAAGGAAGACTTTTGATGGTGTTAGACCTATCTAGGATGGTCCTATATGCATCGGTTATGGGAATATTGTATCTTGTGTCAACTAGTTGATTTTCATCATCTGATGAAGTTGTGCCAATGAAGATGAGTAGTAACTCTTCGTCTCAGTAGTGACAAATCGATATGGTGTGATTTGTGCTGATGCAGTGCTGGGTTGGGATAAAGTTAATAAAAGTTATTATGCTGCTGTTAAGCAACATTGCTGCCAGATGGAAGTGCATACTAATCCACGGATGGTGGACTAACCAAACAAATTGTGAACCGGTCATGCATACTTGTACTGGATGCTGTTTGTCCATGTGTGCAAGCACCTAGCTACAGGAGACTTACTATACAGTTCGAATTGTGAACAGCTGCCTCTCCATGGATGTTGAAAAGCTTGAATTTTACACTGTCCAGCCTGCTACCTCTCCAAAGTCTCCATCGGTCAAACTGTTAATAAGCCAGGAGACATTACA